ACTACGTTTTATTTTCTGGTTAGTTTTAAAATAAAGTATTTTATGTTATTTAGGTTTTAAATAATCTTAAGTGTTTAATAAATATACCATTTGATTTATAAATATTTTTTTTAGTGCCAAACTTTATATGACAGTTTCAAAGCCGAGTTTTTAGTTGGTGGGGAATGGGGTGTATCCGGTCAGAATTTTTATGGACGATCATTAAAATCGATAAGTGAAATCATATTCACAATCAATGAAATATGCTTCCAGGAAACATACTTGTGTGGGCCATGGACTTGTTGCAATTGCCTGGGAATCATAGATGAGTTTTATGATTGAATCGATCGTGCCAGAAATAGAAAATTAGAATTAAAACGTGGAAGGCTATTATTCATTCATAAAATCATTCATTAAAAAAAAAAATGGAACAGAAAAATATGAGAAAATTATTATTTATATTTCGAAGAAGTGCGTGATTATTTTCCATTTCAAACCACATTATTTCCTGCTTTCGACGCGATAATTATAATCTTATAGACCAACTATCCGGCCTGGGTATAACCAAAGTCATGTTGGCTAATCTCGGCTCGGAGTTCGGAGTAAGATCGATCCGGCAGGACCTCCGCAGATCAGATGCCCAGTGAGTAGCGGGAATAACCCGGCAGACTGTCCATTGACGGCGTTTTTTCCCAGTTAGCTTAACTTGCTTTGCGGCTTCGATAGATTATCGAGCATTAGACCAGGATTAGGAGTCGGTGTTTTGCCAGGCAGTCAGTCAGCCAGTCAGTTCGCAGTTCCTAGTTCGGCCTGGACTCGTCCGGCTAACTTGTGCAATTTGTGTAAATTCCAAAGCCAGGATCTGATCAAACAAGTCCCGGATTTAATTGAGATCAGCCAGCCAGCCACCCAAGTGGCAGAGTGTGTGAAAAACCGCGAAACGCTTTGGAAAATTTACAGCGTTTCCCGGGCTGGCTGGAAATTCGATTGGCAAACCGCAGATTCAACTTCCGCTAGGGGGTTTTGCCCAATCCCAGGGCCCAGTCCGAGAGTCTAATCTCAAACATGTGGGTACTTGGCCAACATTAACATATCGTTAGCGATCTGGCGAACTCAGATCGAAGATCTTCGAACTGTGATCCGTGGGAAGTTTGGCGTTGGTCCAAACCAGACTCTGCATCGCAGGGAAACTCCATTGGAAAACTCGGAGATTTGGCCAAAGGCTTAAAACGGAAACTGATCGCTTCGAACACAACTACACCCTGCTGTCATAATTGTAACGTAATTATTATTTATGCTGTCACACTCGATTATAAATCTCATATTTGCCAAAAGTCTTATGATTGTCTGATTTCAACCCCTTCTGCTCCTGCTGCTGTTTCTTTTGTTTGAGTTGGAGTGAGAGAAGATCTGCCATCAATAATCATATTTTTGGGAATTTGCATAATTTCATAATTCCAATACAATGTCAATTGTCCGATCCGAGTGATAAGCCACACACTACTAGCTAAGAGTCCCCGCCGAGAGAATCAATAAACGATGGCCATATATCAAATGAATGCAAAGCCCGAACGGGTTTTCGAGGTGCAGACTGTGGAACAACGATAGCGTAATGAAGACATTACCGAAACACAATTAAACAGAAGACATTTGTCAGGCCAAACCGAACCAACAACATATCAAAAGCCAAACACATCCAGCATCCAGTGGAGTGGAGTGGAGAACTTCCAGATGCCATGAGAAATTAGCCAAACAAGTTTTATTGACTTTTCCTACCCCCCTGGCTGAATTTCTAATTTTTCGCAAAAGTGTGCAAAAATTAGTATAATGCGTATTATATTTCGAAATGGGTTAGGCTAAAGGGAATTATTAGATGAGCTATAAAACTTACATATATGTATGTAAGCAATAAAAATCAAAAAATAAAAAATCGAGTGCCCTTGAAACCCACTTTAACAACATTTCGATAAAAATCGTAAAACATTCCCAACGAGACTGGATAATAATAGTGCTCAGCTTCTATAGTTCTCAATTTACACCCGGGTGCAATAGAAAAACTGTTTGTAGACGATAAATATTTTCCGCCTTCTCTTTATGTAACAAAAAAAATAGTTAAAATTAAGATAAAAAATACTGAGAGATTCTCCTGCCGCCGTACGTCGCCGGTCATCAAAGCTATTTTTACTATATGTATGGTATATAATGAAACTTGAACAGTCATCGGATATAATGAATACATCTCAATCCCCTGGTCGATTCCGTTGTTATCCAACGTGATGTGATTCATTGGTTTATCTGAGGGATTATGCCTAAATCTTTGGCCGGCGAGCTATTAATTTACTAATTGTAATGTTGGCCATAAAAAATATTTAGCAGCCACGAGCTCAGGCCTTATCTTTGTAGACCAGGTCGGTCCGGGCCAGAAAGACCAGATCGCTGGCCGTGTAGGACATTGGAAATGCAAATTCTTCGCACATAATCACAATAACAATGATGCCACAACAAAATGCCAAGTCCGAGCTGTTAAATCAAAAATATGCAAATTACTTTTGAGAGCGAACACGAGTCCCAATACTGATATCTGAAAACTGAACACCGTATCGGAATCCGAACAAGTTCGAACCCAGATCGAGTCGTCGTCTGGGGTCGTTTGATTGATATGTGCTGGTTATACAGTCATTTGGCCAAAATGATGCAATCAAATCTATGTAAATGCGAACGGCTCTTGACTCCTCTGGCTCTGACATTTTGAGGCTGATGCTGATGCTGATGGGTGGTTATAGCCGGAATCGAATAGCCCTGGTCCGGTCATATAGGCATAACTAAGTAGCTAGCATTTCCGTCAGTTTTTTACTCATTTACGACATCGGGCAATTAAAAAAGTTGAAAAGTCAAAAAGTCAGCTCAGAAATGTGCGTTACTTTTTTATTATTGTGTTTTTTTACCGATCTACGATTTTTTAGCCTTCTTTCCCGAGTGGCCTTGAGGCAGATTTCCCTGGAAATTCTCAGCATGGCAGACGAAGTCATTTTTTTACGCAACTCGAACGGGCAATTGACTTTTTTATATGAGGTCCTGGCTCGGGTGAAGACATATGCCAAAAAAAAAAATTAAAAAAGGAACCATTTCATCCTTTTTCCACTTAAAAAAAAGTGGGCATGAGCGGATGGGTGAGGCGAGGTGCTCTGCATTGGCTCGGGTTATGGCCATCGGCTGCTCGACTTTTTATGGTTACGGCCCGACTTTATGACCATCATATCGGCCACTTTCGGGCCGAAAAAATCCGCAGCGGGCAGGCTGATTTTTTAGGGCAATTCTTGTGGCTACCTAAGCTCGCGATTTCGTTACCTAATCGCAGGATCAGCTTACCTAAGCCTAAGATTATCCTAGGATCATAATTATGACGGCGGACGCGACACTCGGCTCGGTTTTTTTTTGCGCGCCGAGCGCGTTGCCGGGCGGCAAAAAACTTAATCCGGGGATTAAACCGGATTAAAGTCACATTGTCCTCATTTTTTTTATGTCGGACTCCTCTCCTTTCGGGCTAACTAATTACTCGGGGAAAATTACCCATTTGCTTGTGCGGAAATTCGCGAAACAGTAATTTTTTACAGAATTTTTGGCAAACGGGCGTTTTTTTATGGTGTGTGAGAAAATAGAGGAAAAAATGGTAAAGGACCAGACTGAACCGGGCAAGGACCATAAAATTGAATCGATTAGAAAAAAAACGGTGGTGGGCGGGTGGTCGGTTGGTTGGAGGATAGAGAAGGATATACCGAAGGATGGTTCTAGTTACTTTTTGACTTTTTTACAAGCCTTTTGTGAGATTTTCCGCGTTTACTTGGAAGAGCTCTGGTTGATGCAACAATTGAAAGTAAACCCGAGAATATTCCCAGAAGTTTCCTAACGATTTTTTAAAAATCTGCTGGAAACAGCACTCGTGGCTTTGCTGATGGAATAGTTTGTTTCCCTAATAAGGGTTACAACTAACCATAGATGGGTTTTGGTCAAAAAGTCAAGGTTCTTGTTCAGTTTAGTCGATGGTCAACCCTTTCAGGACAATGAGGATCCATAAAAGGGTTAAACACAAAAGGGTTAACTGAGTCGAACAGGTAGCTCCTCTCCCATGGCAAACATCAATAAATATTCATAAAAAGAGTTAAGTGCTACCATAAGGTTCTTTGTTTAGAAAAAAGGGTTAATAATTATAGTCGTTGTTGACTTTTAGGAAAGGGTTAGATTGGGAATTAAATATATATAAATTCAAATTCAAATATATATAAAATATATATAAAAATTTATAAATTTAAAATATAAATAAATATATTTGAATATAATATTCAAATATATATAAATTCGAATTCAATTCAAATTATTTTGATAAGAGATATATATTTTTGTTTCCTTTTATTATCAGTAATGTTTGGCTGAAATCCGTCGGCCTTTCGGCCAACTCCCCTTGAGTTTTGGGGCTTTCGACCATTTCGATTTTCAGCGGGCTGAAAAAAAGGCTCCGCCCATGCCAAATAAAATGAGAAAATGTTAAAAATGAAGTCAATAGCTGGCGGGCGAGGTGTGTCATGGTGTGATGGTGTTAGTTTGTATCTCTGTGAGTGAGAAATGTAAGCCGCCCTTTTGCAGGCGAGTTTCTTAATAAATAACCGAATAACGAATAATATCAGAGCAATGCAAATCGAGCGATTCCCCCAGTAGTCTAAAACCGGAGAGAGAGATGGAGCGATCTGTCGGTTGAGTGAGTGGTTTTCATTCACATCGGAGCCACTGTTAACAGAGCCCTAACAGAGGCTCAAGTGGTGGTGCGCCTGTGTGCGTCGAGTGAGTTTTTGATCGCTCTCCGATCTCGGGCATGGTGGTGGTTTTAGCCGTGATTTATCAGAGAGCTGCTCGAACTGGAAACTGGCAACTGGCAACTGGGAAACTGGTAACCCCACGACGAGTGAGTGTGTGAGTAGGGCCCGTACATAAGCCAAAGAGTTCGACCAGTGATACACAGAAACGCTTCTTGCCAGTCGATGCTCTCAGCCAGAAATCAGTCGTCAGTTAGTAGCCGAAGTGTCAGTTACACACATCGAGAGTTCCACCAGCGCGTTGCGTCGCATTTCGAATATCATCGTATCCAAAAAAAACTATAAATTTTCCCAAGTGTGAAAACCCCTCAAGAAAATAATAAACCAGAGACTGATCTGAAAGTGTTGAACATCTAAAAGAATCGCAAAAAAATCTGCACAAGTGAGCCAACGTTTAGCAACGATCGGGAATCGCTGCAATTAAAAAGTCATCGTTACACCCAGTTCCAGACCGAAAACCAGCACCACAAAAAATAAGGTAAGTTCTGAAAGAGACAGCTATTGGGAAAGTGAAAGAGATGGGGGATCGATCTTGTCCGAAAGTCAATTCACGGTTTTTATTTTTGGGTCGCTGCCGACGGCGAATTTTATGATCCCTTGTGCACTACTTTTATTTTTTACAGTTTCTCGCGAAAACCTCGCAGCACATTTCCATCTTTCCTTTAAAAAAAACACACATACAACGGGGAAAAAATTGTTCATAAACCAAAATATCTATTTTTTTTGACTCGGGAAATGTGTGTGTTTTATGGCCGAACGTCAAGGACTGCTGCATTTTTTTAGGGAAGAGCGCGACAAACTCCTCGTAATGACTTCATCTAAAAAAGGAAATCTACCTGAGTTTTATGGCCGGGCAGTGCGAAAAAAATGAAAATGAACGCATAGGGTTGCATAATCCGGCAGCTTAAGTTTTTTGGCCTGTTGTCTCCTGTCTCTGATCGTAAAAAACGAAACTCTCTGCACGTCCATCCTGCAGACACTTCGTGCCAGCCGAGTCCATCGGTATAAATATCCTGTCGGCCCTCAGACCGACATCAGTTGCTCAGCAGCATTCTAGACGAACAGATCACAGAGATCGCAGAGAAGGAGATCACACAGAAACACACAACATTCCGACAAAGATCAGCAGTACAACATGGTGTTCAACTTGGTTAGTGTCCGGAAAACGTCTCGCCTCCCTATGGATTAAGACTGCCCAGTCAATGGATTAAACCCTTACTAACGCGGGATTTATTTATTCACTTACAGATGAACCAGACATGCAAAGTGTGCGGAGAGCCGGCGGCGGGCTTCCATTTTGGCGCCTTCACCTGCGAGGGCTGCAAGGTAAGTTGTGTCCCAAAACATTGAATGAAAGAACATTTTCGCCAAAAAATGAAGAGATTCATTCTTGAATATTTTATAACCATGATATCTAATCAACTATTTCTTTCTTTCATTTATAGTCTTTCTTCGGAAGATCTTACAACAACATCAGCACCATTAGCGAGTGCAAGAACGAGGGCAAGTGCATCATCGACAAGAAGAACCGGACCACCTGCAAGGCCTGCCGCTTGCGCAAGTGCTACAACGTGGGCATGTCCAAGGGCGGATCCCGCTACGGACGCCGCTCCAACTGGTTCAAGATCCACTGCCTCCTGCAGGAGCACGAGCAGGCCGCTGCCGCCGCTGGAAAGGCACCACCCAGCCAGGTTGGAGGCGCCACAGCTCCTTCGGCCGCCTCGCCGGTAGGCTCCCCCCACACCCCCGGTTTCGGAGACATGGCAGCAGCAGCCGCCCATCTGCACCACCACCAGCAGCAGCAGGCCGCCGCCGCAGCGGCTCAGCGCGGACACCCACACATGCCACTCCTGGGCTACCCCGGCTATCTGCCCGAGCACGCCGCCGCCCTGCCCTTCTTCAGCATGATGGGTGGAGTGGCCCCTCATCAATCCCCCTTCCCGCTGCCCCCGCATCTGCTCTTCCCAGGCTACCATGCCTCGGCAGCGGCCGCAGCCGCCTCGGCAGCCGACGCCGCCTACCGCCAGGAGATGTACAAGCACCGCCAGAGCGTGGACTCGGCGGGCTCTGTGGAGTCCCAGAGCCGCTACAGCCCGGCCAGCGGTGTCGCCGCCCCAGTGCAAGTGCCTCAGCCGACCAACTCCGCTCGCCAGACCCCCATCGATGTGTGCCTGCCCGAGGAGGATGTGCAGTCGGTGCACAGCCACCAGTCCGGCAGCCTCCTGCATCCCATCGCCATCCGTGCCACGCCCACGCAGCAGCTGCACTCCAGCTCGCCCAGCAGCCCGCTTAGTTTTGCTGCCAAGATGCAGAGCCTCTCGCCCGTGTCCGTGTGCTCGATCGGCGGAGAAACCACCCCGGCACCCATTGCCCAGCCTGCCACGCCACCAGCCACCGCCCAGGAGGGTCCCATGGACCTGAGCATGAAGGCGTCGCGAAGCTCGGTGCACAGCTTCAACGACAGCGGCAGCGAGGACCAGGATCTGGAGTCAGCTCCCCGCCGGAAGTACTACCACTTGGACGCGGAGTACACCAGCAGTTCCTCCCACTCGCACTCCCAGTCGCCGCCCGCCACCCATCACGCTGAGGTCAAGCGCCAGAAGCTGGGTGGTGCTGATTCCACCCACTTTGGTGGCTTCGCCGTCTCCCACAATGCCGCCAGTGCCATGCGGGGCATTTTCGTGTGCGTCTAAGGCTAAGAGTGGGTACGGACGGAGGTGAAAGGCGCGAGAAATCTCATTTCGGTGGGAGGAGCCCCCACAGCCCCACAGACCGTTGTTGTTGTTTTACGGTTTAGTGTACTTTTTTTTGTTAGTTTGAGAAAATGTAAATTTTTCGGTGTGCTCGCTCACACCTAGGAGACACGAACGAGACGGGGAGAGACTGGTTTCGCTGGAAAGAGCGAGTGAGAAGGAGACAGCCAGCCAGGTAGTTGCATTGCACTCACACAATCACAAACACACGTACACCACACACACTCAAACACCTAAAAACTATTGAGCTCAAACCCAAAAATTATTTTTATGAAACGTTAAAAAATTGTAAATATTTATTTGAGCCTGTTTGCAATTGTATTTAAAGCTAGAAGGAAGCGGAGGAGTTAGTTGACATTCCCACCCTCGAATCACTATTGTACATAGAATTGTTAAGTCTAAGCATGATCTTAATTGTGTCTAAGTATTTTATTGTATTTTAGTTATAGTTGCTCTTTATCCCTACGATTGGCTTTTAATTTTATAAAAGAAAAATAAAAATGATTAAAAATTAAATACTTTTGTGTTTTTTTAATACTTTTGGATGGTTTTTGGAAAGAAATTTTTAAGAGATATGAATACTTTAATGTATTCCCTTTCTTAAAATTAATTAAAACTTTAATGTTTACTAAAACTACCAAGATCCACCAGTGTTACCAACACTTGTTAGAAGTATTAGAATACAAGTTATATCTGAAATAAAATCTGATTCAACCTGAATCAAATAAATACTCCATAATACCTATCCAAAGCATGTCCCATAGATATCTCTCGGATGTATCTATTAGCTGTCAACAAAGTTCTTTGGCTACCGCACATTCCTAGGATCAAAGCTAATAAATAACTTTGGTATTCAGCCATCATTCTTGTTTCAAAATCAATTCTGTTCGTTCATACATCTGATCGGCGGGCGGTATCTTTGGTTCCCCCCGTCCGTCACCCCGACTCCCTCTTGATTTTCATAACCACGGGCCAAATGGGCGTGGCCTGTCAATGGCAACACCAAAAAGAAACAAAATGAAAACAAATGCTTTGGCATAAATTCAATCAACATTCGGTTGCAAGTCGATCGAGGATGGCCGATGGCCGATAATAAAACCGATATAGCAGCCGTTAAGTGCTTTTGTGTCTGCCCATTGCAATCGCGATTGCCGTATTGTAAATTAAAAATGCCACAAATGTTACGCACAGATATTTGTCCGACCGACCGACCGCCCATCCACCCTGTTTTATATGCTGCTGCCATGAGCATTAGGCCTATGTCTAATGTCTAATGCCTAGGCCTTTGCCTCTGCCCATGCGTTCGATATGGGCCAGTTGTAGGCACTGATTCTGCCTGGCAGTGCGACCACGTGCTGCTTCAAATAATAAACTTTATATTAACACATACAACAGTCATACGCCACGTTGATGGCCAGAATTTTAATCACTTAATTAGCCGGAGCGACCGCTCCGAACTTGGTTTATGGCCCGTCGGCCCAACTTCTGCTGGATCCACTATATCCACGCTGGATCCACCCGATGATGAATGGGTCGGCTGGCAAGTTATGCAGGATTCCGGGGTCTGGGATGCAAAATCGTAATGCCCGAGTATCGACGAAAAAAATCTGGCAGTTGACGCCTCGACGGGTGACAATAAATAAACCATCAAGGTGGGTTTGTGCCGCAGAGATGAGCCCGCAACATACCGGGTATCATCAATATGCATGATGGGGTCGCGTTCGGCGGAGAAGGGACTTGCACGCGGGGTGGCATAGGGGCGGCGGGTGAGCAGCGCACGCCATTGTGCCTTTGTCGATCGATCGCATTCCAATGTGTGTTTTGTCGTCATTGTTTCTAAATTTATTTTTATAGTTTATTAAAGAGTCATATCATAGTAGGGAAAAAAAAGACACAAAAAATGCAATAAATTCAAGCCGAGAAGTCAACACACTCTTAAGTAGGTTTCAAATTAATTTTTAAAATGATTTGGCATCAACAAATAAATTAGAGTTAAACTTTAGAAGCTATACTGGCTATTTCAGGATTTCTAAACATAGTTCAGAAGTTTTCCCGAAGTCTACATTCAAGTTCGTTGCCTAAGTCTTTTGTTTCGGAACTAGATTATCTGAACGTCACTAGTTTGGGTCACTCCCAGACCGATTAAAGCACACACCCTCGATAAACACAAGACGCTTTGGTATATCATATGATTCGTCAAGTTCGTTGCTTCAGTCTTTTGTTTTCCCTGACTATTTTGTGTTTTTTTTTTTGGGGTTCAACTGGCGCTGTCAAACTGAAAAAGTGGTTCATTTGTCTCATCGCCCCAATCTCTCCAATCAAAAAGCCATTTAGACAACAAAGACGAGAAGAATGAGACAAGCGGAGAGAAATAAAATCGATTCAGCATAAAAATGGTCCAAAAGTATAACATTTCAAAATTTTATTGACTGTCAAAATGCAGGCGCCAATCGAAAATGAGCGCAGACAAGCGGGCTAGATCGGGTTACCTGGCGCCAAAGGCGACTTTCAGATGCTTTATTGACCCCACGTTGTGCCAGTGTGTGATCCATGATAGATGCATCACTAATAGAGTTCCAGGCGATACAACGAACAAAGACTGTCTCTGACTCGGACTGTGGCTCTGAGCACATCTTTAAAAATAGTTCAAGATTCAAGACAAGCACCTGCACAGCCCCATTCAATTATTTATCACCGTTCGCAATGCTAATGTTCCTTCGGTTATGGCTTTCAAATTAATGCATGCAAAACATATATAATACGCGAGCCGTAAGAACATGTTTATTAAATTAAATAATTGCACCTGGAGTGGAGTGGCATCGCTGAAAAATAAATTCCCAATTTGCATTTGAAGCTGACAATGGATTTGGACAAACAATATAGCAACGCAAATATTATTGACACATTATAAAGGTGGAAACATGTTTCTAATGAGAAATTATGCAAAAATTTGCATAAAATTTTGTTTAAGGCAAGTCAGCAGCTATCTGAAAAGAGTCAATGCTTCTCGACGGCGGCTGCTGCTGCTTCGGCGTCTCCGGTAGCGGCCTTAATTACTGCCAAGCATCTCTAGAGGGTAATGGGGCGTGTTCTTAGACTCGCAGCAACCGGGCTGACAAATAGTCAAAACAAACTATGACATACCGCTCATATTAATATCTTCAACCGCTGAAGAGGAGCGATCATTAACTCTCAAGGAGACGGTCTAGGATTGAGGAAGCAAAAGTTTAGTCTGTATGGTCCGAAGTATTCAATCGTTTCCATATAAGAGTGTGTATGGTTTTTAAGAAATCATTAAGAAACTTGATGGGCGGGAGGCTTATTTATTTTACAATAATATAATTAACCTTATTTTTGATCAAAAAGTATAAATAATTTAATGACCTGCCATATATTGCACTTTCCACTTGACCCCAACGCTGCACTCTCCGCTCAACCATATTCCGACTGGAGTTCTTGGTGCTATCCCAAGATCCGATCGGATGACGGACAGTTCCATTGTTCTTCCAGCCAGGAAGACATTAACCCACTTAAAGCCGACTGAGAGCTGGCCAAATCACATAGCACACTCCCAATCGGAGGCTCATCTTTATTGATTTCGATTCCGCCGCCGCCGCCGCCACCTTTAACCTCCGTTTGTGGATCGGATTGAATGGAAAAACAAACTGCCAGAACTGCCAGCCAGCTTTTGGAGGCGCTTGACTCACACGAGATCGGAGCTGGCCAAAAGGGTTTCCTGATTGCCGATTCTTGATTCCCGGCCCCACGAAGAACCTGGACCTTAGCTGGCGCTGGTAATTAGTGATCTGGTGCACTTGATATGCACCTTAATTTAAACATTTCGTACACACCCAGCCGGGGCACGCATTCTGTTTCTTTTATTTTGTATTTGGCTTGAAGCTTGAAGCCCTTCTACCGATTCTTCGGGGTCTCATCTGCTCCTCGGACAAGTTCTGCGTGTAGCGCATGCCGTTGGCTTGTTTCTGGCCCATTCCCAGTCTCATTCCCGATTTCAGGCCCATTCTCATTCTCTGTTTGGCTCTGTGCTCTTAGCCAGTGCCAGTGCCATTCCCTTCGCGCGCCGTGTTCTCGTTTAAACGTTTATTTAACTTAAACGAACTTTGCGTGTCGATTAAAGTGCTGCGATTAAGGTACGACCTGATCCGGTCTTATGGTATCTGCTTTGTTTTCTTTTTTTGTATTTTGTTCTCTGGAGGATTTTTGATGACCATCAGATGGTTATAAGAAGGGTATATTCGATGAAAGGGCATAAATAGGCTTCGATGATTCTGACTCTAACTTTCATTGGCCACCCTTTGTGGCTTGTCTTTTTACCCTTTATAATTTTTGCAGGATATCTCAAGGGTCTATATTGCTCACTTGCTTAAAATCTGTTCACAAATGCCTTTGCTTGGCAGAGGCGCATGCGTGTCCAGTGAACTTACAGGTCAAGCATACGCATGCCAACGATAAAGTTGAGCCTGGTCCTCGGCTGCCATCATCCTCATCATCATTATTATCATCGTTGTACCAGATGATGACCATGATCGGGTTGACCTAACCCAGACACGGTTACAGCTGCATAAATCCTTCCGTGGACTTTCTCTCTGGGGCCTGCTTCTTTACGACAAATTTGCCCATTGTTCTGTTTTGGTTGCCTGATGATGTCCTTTTGTCTTCGTTTACGGTGTATGTTTGGCCCCCGACAGTGTGTGCCTCTCCACAAGCCTGACTTCTCGCTCCTCACTCCTTACTCCTTGGTCCTCGCATTGTCCAATGTCCGAGGACCCAGGACCGCACACCGCAATCCACAATATTAATTTGTGCAGCCAGCACCTCGAACATTTACGAGGACAAAACGCCTAACGAACTCGAGCTCAAATCAACTCGGAGCTGAGATCCTTATCGGTGCAAGTGCACTTGGAAAAATTTCGAAGAGAACAACAATCTTATCCTTTAGTTTTAATAAATAGTTTGTGAGTTTTTCTTGAAGTGCCCTTGCCTATCTGGCTGCCTGATTATTGGTTGTTTGGTTTTTTTAGTGCCCCGTCTTATCTTGTTACCCTTATTTATTTTTGAACACAAAAAAAGTAAAGAAACGGAATTAGATTTAAAGGCCTGCGTGAGGCTGGGCCACAAGTGATTTTGATAGCTCGTAAAGAAGTCAAAAAGTCAAAAATTTTTAGTGGGAAAACCCACGATCTGGGCATCAGCAGCGTTGAGTATCGACCACCGCAGCAGGAGCTCCTCATTCCGGCGATCCAGCGATCCGGCGATCGGCGATCGGGAGACAGGGAATTTATGTTACAGCTCGTTAAATTAGTCTAATGGGCCAAAGCCAGCTGTCCGGTGGTGCAGCTCGTTGGTGGCAATGGAAAGGGTTGACATCATTAGGACGGATCTCGATCGCGGCCAGAACGGCTCTCTAACTTGCGATTGCAACGTGTGCGACCGCGACCTTCTTCCTTAAGATTTTTCCTTTTGCCAAAGCAAAGAGCTTGGAACTCTTTTCATTT